AAATAAATATCATATATATGCCAAAAATAGTGGGCACTTCTAGATTTCTAGAGAATCCGTTGTCTTATCTGGAAATACACTATTTACATTATTCGGACTATTGGCCACATCTTTGTCGCCATATTTATTACAACGTTTCGGTCGTTGTACGCTCCGGCCTTCTTCAGGTGGTTGGAATGTCGAACTGAACCCTTTATTTCTCTCACTGGGGTAGACTATTCTAGTTCCAAGATGAGCAGTGGTAAAAAAAAATGGTTGCTGAAGACATTAGGTTTATAATACCCAGAAATTCATACACAGATCTTTAATAGACCTCTGATTGCCATTAGCACACAAGGGGTTACAGAGAGTGAAAGTAAGAGTAAAAATGGGTGTTTAAGGAAAGGATAAATAGAATGATCGAGATCAAGATCAATTTACATTACATCTAAATTTTAGAAGATTATAGTTAGCAGGGAAGCAAGTAAGCGGAAGGGAGTTCCACTGTCGGGAAGTGCGAGAGATGTTGGGGTAGATATACCAAAAATAGTGGACACTTATAGATTTCTAAAGAATCTTTTTGTTTTATCCGGAAATATTTTATCTTTAACAAAATCGATAAAAATAACAGTAATAAAAATAACAGTAATAAGGATAATCGTTCGAATGAATCGAATTGGCTTTTTTAATGATTTCGCTTTATTTATTTTTTTCTCGCTTTGTCAGAATTGATCATTCTGAGATTCCGATATCGCTGATCTCCTTTCTCTTTTCCCTTTTAAAGTGTTCTCTGCGCAATTATTTCTATGAACTTTCGTCTGCGATATTTTATGTCTGGAAATGATGTTATTCGTCCCTGCCAATTTTCTTGCCTTTTTTCATTCCTCACCGTTGCCTTGTTGAATAATCTTATTCTTGATGCTGACATTGTTCTCATCACCCACTCCTCGCCGTTGTTCTTTACAAGAAGAGACATTGAAAAGCTGATGCCAATGGTATTACTGGCTGTCGCGATTGGCATTGATGCGTGACGTGCATTCAGGGATGATTGAAAGAAGCTCTTAGTAAAAAATCAAAATCGATACTCGATGGTCATTTCGAAGAGAAAGCTATAAACACATCAAAAATCGATTCGCCTGTAATTTGTAAGCTTATATGCCATTTACATCTTTTGAATCAAACGAGACTTTCGTCTTTTCTTTTTTACTTATATATATATATATATATATATATTTTGTTATTATTTCATGAAGTATTTTTCCGTATCCGTATTCCTTTTTGCTTCTGCGCAAAGGCGGGACATTTCTACTTTTTTTAGACACTGGATATTCTGATATTGCGTTTACAATGTCGAACATGAAAGGGGCAAAAAATGAGTGTTGTATTTTTTTTTCTATCGTTTCTCTGTCTCTTAGTTTTAACTATAAAGTTATTTGATTCTCACAAATAAACATGGTTAAAAATCTCTCCTTTCAAACAAATTAGCTGGTGGAGTTCGTTCGTTTCTTATAGCGCGGCAGATTAGCTTTATAGGAAACTAAACTTCATTATTTACACACTATTTTCATTCAAACTATTGTGCTCATCTTTATTGCCATATTCACGATCTCTCTCTCTCTCTCTCTCTCTCTCTCTCTCTATATATATATATATATATATATATATATATATATATATATATATATATATATATATATATAGTTTTAAAAACAAGGAATATATATTGATTTTATTTTTAAAAAGTCTCTAGGGCCCTTTCAGCCAACATCTAATCAGGATTGGATTAGCGAAAAGAATATAAACGATATTGAAGAGCAAAAAAGAGGGGGAAACACACTAAAATAACAAACAAGTATATATACTTGTAACGAGGGGAAGGGAAAAGAATCGTGTAAATAAATTAGCGAGGAACAGTTAAAATAAAATATCCCCCAACAGATTCAGAGACTTTATAAATTCTTTCTGCCTGCAGAGAGAAGGTTTTCTTAATACTATACAGACCGATTCCAAAATCTTCAAATGATTATTGGAATCGGCTGTATGAATAATTTTAAACCACTCTTTTTTAAACAACTATATATATATATAATCGACTCTCCCGTCGAGATTCGACGTATGAGGGTCAAGCAGATCAGTTTCCAGGAAACCGACAGCCCGACACCGGCACATGGGATTTGATTATAGTGGTGGAGGCCTCGTGCAGGACCATCCACACTTTTTTATATATATATATATATATATATATATATATATATATATATATATATATATCCAAGTATAGGATTGGTGTATACGGATAAATTCAATAAACAACAAATACTATTCTTAAAAGAGTGCTCAATACAGAGTATGGCAAATATGACTATTTATTCGAAAATTATAACATAAATATATTATAAAATCACTACAAAAATAGTCATTTTGTTTCAACACTTCTGGTGTCAAGGTGTTGAATGCATAATAAATCTGTATTATACATTCAAAGATAAGGCAACAGAAGTGTTGAAACAAAATGGCTATTTTTGTAGTGATTTTATAACATTTTTGTGATAATTTTCAAATAAATAATTATATATATATATATATATATATATATATATATATAATTATTATCATCCTAAAATCGAAGACTGACATGTAATGTTTTGGTCTGAAGAGTTGGAATCGCATTTTCCATTCTAACGAAATAAATATCTCCATCGTTTTGTAAACTTGTAAATCTTCGTTTTTATGATAATTATTATTTGCTCTGATTTTGACATCGAGTTCTCTCCGGATTTATATCTTCTTTGGGATTATTCATACGGATTACCAAATATTATCATTGTATAGATATCATAGGATAAAGAACAAATAGGAAATAGTTATGCGTCACTTTTATTAAACCCTCATCAGAATATATATATATATATATATATATATATGTATGTGTGTGTTTGATAAAAATTAGTGTACGCATATAGTATATTAGTAAAAGAAAAATATTTAAAAATGAAGAAAATAACAAAAAATAAATGAATAAATAAATACATCGTATTTGTTTTGCTACACATGACGTCACTATAGAATACTTTAGACTTCCAGCTGCTCAAAGAATACCATTATGTAGAGAAAGGAATTATCATTACCACGTAAACACTAGATAGCTTCTTGATAATGACTAGTGTCGTCGAAAGTACTTGAACATAAAGTGTCTTTTCTACAAATATTTTCATGGTCATTTTTCGGATGAGCTCTTCGCTATGGTACCTAGACATTTTCTTTTAAAATTAAGCGTATTGACAGACTGGCGATGAGGTCGAATCAATTTAAAGTTCAGTTGTCACATCAAAGCCTGCAAAATTTTACTCAAAATTTTATCGAAAAGCTTCCTGATAAATCTCAACAAGCCATTACAAATTAAGTTGAAGAAATCATTGAATGAAATGCCATTTTATTTTTTGACGAATGGAGTTGATAGACGAAAATGGAAATTGCTTATGACTCATCATAATATCATGTAATGGTTCTGATTCTTCCTTAGTACCTTAGGTAGGTAGGTAATTAGGTATGTAGGTAGGTATGTAGGTAGGTAGTTAGGTATTACGTTAAGCCCTAACAATAACCGACTAATCCGTTTTGATCGGGAGAGAAGTTATAAGAAACGCTGATTGGTTTCATTGAGAATAAAATAACGAAAGTGAAGATAGAAGAATCGATCACGATTTTATGTTTAACGTCTGCTTCAGTGAATTAGAACAAAACGTGGCAATTTCAAATCTGTTCATTTATGTTCTCTTACTTTTTTTTTTAAATAATGACCTTCGTTCATATTTGTTATTGCCACTGCAAAAGTTTGTCAAAATTTCCGTGGGTGTTCTCTAACCGTAACTTGCTTCTTCAATCATTAAGTTATGAATTAAGGTTCATTGGATAATTCGAATAGGAAAACAGTGACATGTTCGTAGTTATTTCAGTATTTATAGCCCAGCACATGGCAATTTTTTCTTAAACGATTGGTTAAAAATTCTAAATAGATGAAACAGAAAACTTGGATGGTGGTTCTACAAAAGGATTCTGAGAATATCATAGACGGAACATGTGAACAACGAGGAAGTTTTATGTAAATATAAACAAAAATGATATTTATTATTGGAATCAGAAAGAGACAATATATATTTCTGGGATACATAATGAGGAAAGAAGGCTTGGAGAATTTGACACTCGCAGGGCATACTGAGAGGCAAGAGACGACGAAAGAAACAGTGTAAGCTACATAACAAGTTTTTTTAAATGATTGGCAGAAGAGGTAGTCGGTGGGGTGTAAAGTCCGTCAGTTCAGACGAAAACTTTTGAATTTCTTTTTTTTTTATCGAAACAACTAACGTTTCCTTTCGAGCAAAAATATCAAATCTATTCTTTATATTTTATATTCTTTATGGCATTAACTTAACCATTTGCCTGACAAGGGGAAATTTTCGTGTGTACTATTCAAACGGTCATTCTTCTTTCAGATTTATAACAATTGCAAGACAGCTCATCTTATTTGGCAGATAGAATCTGCTCATATATAGTGTCCCAAATGATAAAAAGGTACAAATCATTTATTCTGCTACGTTCTGGGTATCACGATAAACTACGTCCAACAGCAAAGTCTTTGATGAGGACATTTTGAGGGGCGTAGAACTACCTTTTAATTGATGATTTTCCCAGGTGCACCCTGACCTGGGGTGGTAGCACCTGTTAGGGTCCCAGCTATGGGCAAATAGCTAACCCCCAAACTGGGGTCCAAAGACTATGAAAGTGTAAAAATACGTTTTAATAACAGAAATACTTTGTAAAAAAGAGAAGAAATCGATAGATTTTGGAAAAACAAATATTACAAGCGAAGGAAAATTCTTACCAGAAATAGATTTTTTGAAGGAAAAAATATCACCAGAAATAAATTTTTGAAAAAAATTATTACCAACAGTGAAAATTTTATCGGCATTAATAACCCATTGAGGTTGACATGCCGTAAAACAAACCAAACCTATATATACTGAGATAGATAGATAGATAGATAGATAGATAGATAGATAGATAGATAGATAGATAGATAGGTAGATAGATATGAGTGGAATGAGATAGATAGATAGATAGATAGATAGATATGAGTGGAATGAGATAGATAGATAGATAGATAGATAGATAGATAGATAGATATGAGTGGAATGAGATAGATAGATAGATAGATAGATAGATAGATAGATAGATATGAGTGGAATGAGATAGATAGATAGATAGATAGATAGATAGATAGATATGAGTGGAATGAGATAGATAGATAGATAGATAGATAGATAGATGAATGAGTGGAATGAGATAGATAGATAGATAGATAGATAGATAGATAGATATGAGTGGAATGAGATAGATAGATAGATAGATAGATGGGTGGAATGAGAGAGATAGATAGATAGATAGATAGATGAATGATAGATATGAGTGGAATGAGATAGATAGATAGATAGATAGATAGATAGATATGAGTGAAATGAGATAGATAGATAGATAGATAGATAGATAGATAGATAGATAGATAGATAGATAATAAGTATAGCATTGTTTACATCGTTGTTGTGTCTCATATTATTTTTGTGTCTAATGCATGGCATAAATTCTTATCTCGGAGATTTTATGTTTTCTGCTATTTTCTTGTATATATTGTAAGGAACAGTTGTGCCGTTTTTATTTTATATATGCCAACTTCAGAATTAATGCTATTATGGGCTTTTTTTGGGTCTGATCGTATCTATAATAGTTTTTTGGCATAGTCATAACTATTTTGATATTGTTAAAATCGGATATATTGTTTTGAATAGTAGATATTAAGGAATTAGTAGGTAACGTTATATGCGTATTTTTATCTGGTTTATTTTTATTCTTATTTTTGTTGTAGTTTTATGTGTCTTTCTTTTAGCATTGTATATGAAATAGTATGAATGTTGGAGGTGTTTAAAGATGTTTTCAATGTATATTTCTTCTTTAGTTAAATATTTGAAGCTACAGATTCTTAGTGTTCTTAAATAAAATCCTATAATTATTCCAGACTTTATTCTGCTACTGTGGTGAGATTAATAGTTAATGAGGTCATTCTTGTTGAAAGATTTTCTGTAAACTTTTAATTAAAGGTTATTATTAGTTCTATTTAGATATTTGAAAAGTGTAATGTGTTATTAGTTTCAGTTTCATATTCATATGGGCTTTCTAGAAAAATCGGAACGAGGGCTTGGCAATTCGTTAAAAGAGAAAATCGATCTTTGCCAAGTGGTCTAAAGCGGAGTCGATCAAACGATGATTTCTTCTACAAAGGGGAACGCAGGTTCGAACCCTACCAGAGAGTGTATTTTATTTATTAAGATTTCTCGAGTGTACAGAGCGATAAACGTAATAAACATTATTTAAAATAAAAATGGGGCATCTATTTCAAACATGGTTATCCACTAAAAATAAGACTTAAAGTAACACACACACTCACACACACACACACACACACACACATATATATATATATTCATTTGTATGGATCATCTGTAATTGAATGTATACAATTACGTTCAAAGTATATATAGTTGACGCCATAAAATCGTATTCAAAATATTTAGATTTTGGCATTAAATCACTCGTCGAGGTGTTGATATTTCGCTAAACAAAATCAACAAATGGGTCAATACGTCCTGGAAATAAGGATAGGTTTATCGACCAATCGAAGTGAAATTATTCCAAGTTGAACCGGCCATTACTGTTGTTTTCACCAGTTTAACAAATGCTTTCATTGTTGCCACTACAACTACTTTGGCTTCAATGCAATTGTCCACAAAGAGAAAACATTTCTAAATATTTACTGTGTTTTAATCATTTAACGATTATGAACACCTTTATTAAAATTATGAAAGTTTTGAACCCCGGGATATGAATATGGATGACATTAACCCTTTGCCAGTCAAAAGTTCATGCTTCTTTCAGATTTCAAGGCAACTCAGCTTATTTGGCAAATAGAATATTGCTGATATACAGAGTTTTACATAATAAAAGCGTACAAACCATAAGTTATTTACACTATGCTCTGGGCATCACATAATGATGCAAAGGTTTTTATTATGTGAAACACTATATATGAGCACATTCTATTTGCCAAATAAGCTGAATTGCCTTGCATTAGTTATAATCTCAAAACAAGCAAGCGTTCTATGGTTATATATGATACACAAAATATTCAATTCGGCCTTTCCTCAAACGTTCTTTTCTTTAGTAGACTCTTTTCTTAAGTGTCCTTATTTTCCTTTAAAATCATGGCTCGTGTGCATCACATAGGATGCACGGACGTGGAAATCACATGTCCTGTGCATCCCATATGATTCTCAGTACCGGTAAAGGGTTAAGAGATCTATTATCCGACTCTCCCATACTGTGATTGAATTTTATTTATTTATTGAAGAATAAAGTTGATAAACAAAAAAAAAAAAAAGAAATTATTCATGACGCAACCTAGTATAAATCTCTTATAGAATTACAACGTATCGTGGAAATGAAAATTTGCTCTCTGGTATTGAAGGAAATATCACAAGTGTCTGAGGTAAAATACAGTCCTCTCTTTGTTTTTAGTTTTGAGAACCCTGGATATTTTTTTTAAATATACATTCTCCAATAGGGCACTGGAGGGAGTCGACAGTGATGTAAATTGACTTGGTTCATCATGGAGTTTCAGGTCTTTCAAAATCATACACTCCATCACCAAGCCAACCCCATACGGCTTAGATCAAGTCTTGATTCCCCCTCCGCTATCAAACGATAGCAGAGACTCTGGCCTTTATACTAAATTGGACGAACGTAGACAACGTTTTTCGCGCACTTGATTGGATGTTCGTAACAACCAATCCCCTGTAAGGACTGAATTTTTAAATGATCCACGTCGGGTCTGTCTCCGTTTTTTTCCTTTATCGGGTGGATAGCAGCTTCAGTAGATAACCGAGGTGGTAATTTAACATTCTTAAAGATAAACACTAGGTTGTTGACCAAACAAGGTTTGGTACGTTATTCTAAAAATTTTCGGTTTTGTTTTGTAAATTATCTACTCTGAAATTCTAAAACTTAAAGCTATTTCTAAACATTATCGCATTTAAATGACTATTGAAGCCAACAATCAGTACTAAAAAAATGTTTGGAAAGGCGTAATAACCTACTTAACGAGCTGGTGTCAATGGGTGGCAGAACAGAGATTAGGAGTGTTAAGGAAAAGACAAATATTACTAAGGGTTACAAAGGATAGGAAGTTGTGGAGAACCGTGATCGCCCAAGTCCTCAACGGACACGGCGCATAGAAGAAGAAAAACATCTGTTACACTTTAAACAGTGATTTTATATGAAACATTTATGTATGTGTTGGGTCGAGGTGTGAATTCTCCGAAGAAAACAGATCGTGGAAAGTTAAGAACGCACTGCTTTTTGTAAGCCGTATGGAGATTAATGGATTGTCTAGACAGATTATAAACGCGTCAGGTCTTGTAATTGCATTTCCCGAGACGCAATTTGGCTTCGGATTAAAGATTCTGTTTCTCAACAATTCTAGTAAGTCTTTTTTTTTAAGTACTCTACAGGCAACGTAAATATGGTTCTACAGAATGGATACTGAAAATATGATAGATGGAGCGTATAAGCGACGAGGAGGTCTTAAGGAACGGATGGAGAATATCTCTAGACGTATTATACTAAGTCCTAACAGCCATTCCTTTTGTTTATATAAGGATGGTTGTATTGATTTAATATAAATTGTCACAATGATTTGGAACGGATAGTTTGTATATAATACTTTCCAAACTGAGTGAAGAACCTGAACTACAAAATAGAAACGTCGGATTATATAGTGAATTTTAAATATCTGGGAAGTGACCTTACAGGATATGGAAAATATGTCACGGAAATCAGAATTTGAATTTTGTTGTAAAAGCCTTCTGAAAAAAACAAAAAACAAAGCAAAGTACTACCAGAAAAATGTACAAATTAAAAAGACAATCCTTAACTTATTATGTCATATAAATCGCCTTCTAATGGTAGTGGATATGGGGGGGGGTCGCCTCAAAGATGAAGAGAAGGCCAGAGGCAACAGAAATATGGTTCTATAGGAGGATGCTGAAAAGGCCATTGACGAAGAACGTAAGCAAAAAAGAAGCTTTAAGTAAAATGGGAACAAAAGATTCTTAGTATCTGTTAATATTTCTGAGATGAGGTATTATGTACACTATTTACATTATTCGGACTATTGTCCTTATCGTCGTTGCCATATTTATTACAACGTTTCGTCCTTTCAGTATCTGTCTATATTTCTGAGATGAGGTATTATGTACACTATTTACATTATTCAGACTATTGGCCTTTTCTTTGTCGCCATATTTATTACAACGTTTTGGCCTTTCAGTATCTGTCTATATTTCTGAGATGAGGTATTATGTACACTATTTACATTATTCGGACGATTGTCCTCATCTTTGTCGTCATATTTATTACAACGTTTCGGCCTTTCAGTATCTGTCTATATTTCTGAGATGAGGTATTATATACACTATTTACATTATTCGGACTATTGTCCTCATCTTTGTTGCCATATTTATTACAACGTTTTGGCCGTTGTACGTCCCGACATTCTTCGTGTGGTTGGAATGTCGAACTTAACCCATAGACAAAGAATATCATTGGAAAATTCGTAAACAGAAGGAATCGGAAAGTATTCTAGGCCACAAAAATCTCCTGTGCCGAACAAGCATAGAAACGACTACAATATGGGAACCAGTAATAAGGAGTACCAGAGAAAAGTGATAATAACAAAAAAATTGCAATATGAGCTCTGGTAAGACAATGGTTTTTATAACAGCAAAATTGTAATATAAGGACTGGTAAAAATGATTGCTGAAGACATTAGGTCTATAATAACCAGAAATTCATACACAGTCAAGGCACAGTGGATAAAGGCGTTGGTTAGTGACAGGACCCAAACAATGTGAGTTCAATACCCGGTTAAGGCAGTGGAGAACTTGTAGAGGGGAATTAACAGGAGATAAATGACAACTGACATCCATTAAACATGGCATGTGGAACTAAAACAGTCTACCCCAGTGAGCGAAATAAAGGGTTCAGTTCGACATTCCAACAAGCTGAAGAAGGCTGGAGCGTACAACAGCCGAAACGTTGTAATAAATATGGTGACAAAGATGAGGACAATAGTCTGAATAATGTAAATAGTGTAAAAGATTCTCAATAAGAAGTGAGCACAAAATGAAGAAAGGTAGATTAAAGAATTTGCCACTCGCATGCCATCGAAGGCAACAAGGACATGGAGAGGCAGGAGGACACCCTAGCGAAAAAAAGGTCAAGATTTCGAATCACGTCCTGAACAATGTTTTTTTTTATCTTCTCAATCGTGATTTCATTTTATTTTTTTTTTATAATTTCAGCCCAAATAAGGCAATAAAGCCACTAAGACACAAATGTGTGAAAAGAAGAAAAAGAAAAGCATTCTTAAAGAGCGAGAACCATAATAGAAAAGAAATAAAGAAGACAGTAGATAAC